TGTTTCAGGTCTTGTTCAAACAGACCCTCATTCCCCTGCAGAGAAATGAGCTTTGCAGAACTGCAAAACAAAGTTTACATTCATGAGTAGTTATTAATTCAGGATAAGAACACCATTTGCATAATTGTTTTCCTTCTCATTTTATTGCCATCTGTGTAAACAGCTATGCTAGAATTTTTGAAAGAAAAAAGTCAGCCAATATAACCAAATAGGACAGGCAGAATGCCAGATCAAGGTGCTGCTGCAGTACCTATCTAGGATTACAAAAGAAACATGAGTGAGCATATTTAGCCACAAGCATACAGTGACTATAAACATGAATCCTCTTCAGCTCCTACAAACCAAAGAACAAGAGCAATTCATCCTATTCAGCTTTGACCACTCACAGCTTTCCAGTGACACAGTGGCGACTCAGAGCAGGGGTAGGTAGTCTGGCATTTTCATGTTGACAAACTTGCTGCTTGGCCACCAGGTTTTCTGTTATCCAGTTGCTTCAGGCTCTTCCTTGCACTGCTCAGGGCAAGCACCGTGCTGATATAGAGAGACAGGCCTGTCACAGGCCAAACTGAAGATGTAGCCAGCTGCAGGCTGTAATTTACACCTTGACAGTTCCCCAACCAGATGGACTGCAATGAGAGGGTCTAAACGTGTCAAATGTTGTCAGTGTAAGGGAGGGCTTGGCCAGAGGTACACACGCTGAAAACATTATCTAGTGGCAGCCCACATGGGACTTCAGGTCCAGACACTGCAGAAAATGCATTCTCACAGCTATCACTGATGGTCACTAGTATCATGCATTCACCATAAAAAGACAGCAAAAATTCATCTAAGACCAGTACCTGGGCTTTCAGTAGCCCTGATCCATCTCTAGCAAATCTCCGTTATTGTAAATAAGACGAGCATGGCTGAAGGCAGGATTGGGCGCACCTTCATGTCCAGTTAGGGTGCTCTCTGTTTCATGGCAGGGCCCAGCTCCCGCCACCCCTCACCCCATGGACATACTAAACTTTCATATACTTTCCACAGAGAAGAAATACCAGACATGGAGGATAATTCTGTCCAAGGCCTAGACCATTTACACAGTACAACCTTGAACTATTTGCATGACTTGATGCAAGGACAATGAGACAGACGCTGTCACACGTGGAGCATGAACAGTCTGCCTCTTTGGCACAGATATCAGCATTTAACCATCCTACCGCTTACACGCCATTCCTGCAGGAGACAGTGCCTGCACCTCTTCTGCTTCACCAAGGACAGAACGGCAACCTCAGTCTGTTCCAGGAAACTCCACTTCCTTGCTACAATCACACTTCGTACAAGAAGCAACAATCCAGCCAGCAGTCTCCAGCACTGGCCCAAACTACATTTCACAGACTGATACACACTTCTGCCACCCTGTTACTGCCCGTCGTCTGTCAGTACAACAGCTGGCAAAGGACAACTGTTGCTTTCCAGCTCTCTGCTGACACCTACCTACCTCTTCATCAAATTCCCAGTATGAATTTTTCCTGTGCTTCCCAGTTTCTGTCCAGTACTGCTGCTGACTGTTGGCAGTAAAAGGACAAAGCATTACAGCACTGTGGGAAAACAATGGAGGATTGGTGAGGAGGATTGTAAACACACTCAAGTGACTTGCAGCTGAGGTGTCAAAAACCACATATATCACACTAATTGTTGTTTAGCCTTGTGTGTTGGACAAATAGAACATCTGTGTTTAGATAACATAGGCCTGTGATAGACTTAGAGGCACCCTATCAAACATGCTTTAGATTCCTGCCCTGCTGTGTGAAAGATCAAAGCACAGTGGTAAACTACGCCTGCATGAATCCTTAATAAACAGGAGAAAACAGCCGGTTCACTGATCCTCAAGCATGGACCGAGCTCTGTGGTGTCTGCGGCCCCACTCATGTGCCTCTGCCCGGGTGCTGCTTCAGGGATCCCCTGGTTGGCAAGTTAACAGGAATAAATTTACTCTTTGCGTTTCATCCATGCTTCTGTGGTTCCTGCATCCCACCTGTGCCGGCTCACACAAGCAGCCAAAGGCAGGCCACGGGGTACATCTTCCAACTGTAGCAGAGATATGGATGTGTGAAGAATCTGAGCAATTCATTACATAATAAAACTTTGGTATCCAAAGGCCAGATTCCTTTCCAAGCATGCAATCTGTTCTATTTTCTGTATATGAACTATCCATAAATTGCCAGCTCAGCCCACAGATGACTAAAATTTAACTTATACAATAGCAGATGCTAGGGCTTCTTTTTTTTTTTTTTTTTTTTTTTTTTTTTTTAAGGAGGCAAACCCAGGGTCCTTAGCCGCTCCTCACAGGACACGCCTTCCAGCCCTTACACCAGCTTTGTTGCCCACCTCTGGGCACATTCAAGGACCTTCACACCCTTCTTAAACTGTGGGGCCCAGAACTGCACGCAGCACTCCCGGTGAGGCCGCGCCAGCACCGAGCACACAGGACAACCGCCCCTTTTTCCCACTGGTTGTGCTGTTTGACGCACCCCAGGATGCGGTTTGCCCTCCTGGCTGCCAGGGCACACTGCTGACTCGCGTTGAGCCTGCTGCCCACCGGCCCCCCAGATCCCTGTCTGCAGGGCTGCTCTGCAGCTGCTCCTCTCCCAGTTCATACCTGTGCTTGGCCTTACTTCTTCCTAGGTGCAGAATCCAGCAATTCAACTTGTTAAATTTCATCCCATTAATCATAGCCCAATGCTCCCTCTACATCTCTTCCAACTAGATCCCTCTGCAAGGCCTCGTGTCCCTCAAGAGAGTCAACAGCACTTCCCAGTTTGGTATCATCAGCAAACTTGCTAATGGTGCAACCCCTACATCCAGATCATTGATAAATATATTGACCAGAACTGGCCCTGGAATTGAAGCCCGAGAAGCATCACTGGTGACTGGCTGCCAGCCAGATGTAGCCCCATTCACTACAACGCTTTGAGCCCTGCCCTTCAGCCAGTTCTTTGCCCAGCACGCTATGAACCTGCTCATCCCATAGCTGGACAACTTGTCCAGAAGGATGCTGTGAGGGACAGTATCAAAAAGTCTTACTAAAATCCATAAAAACTACATTGACCGTCTTCCCTTCATCCACGAGGCAGGTCACCTTATTGTAGAAGGATCTCAAATTATGTGAACCCCTGTTGACTGTGCCTGATGATTTCATTGTCTTTAAATGCCTTTCAGTCATATTCAGTATGATCTTCTCCATAATTTTTCCAGCAACTGAGGTTGGTCTAACATCTCTGTAGTTCTCTGGGTCTTCCATTACACCCTTTCTGTAGATTGGAATAACATCAGCTGGCTTGCAGCTGGCAGGGACATCCCCAGACTCCCCAGACTTTTGGCAGATGATTGAGAAGGGTCCTGCCGTGGCATCCACCAGCTCCTTCAGTGCTCTGGGCTGAATCCAGTCAGACCCATAGACTGGTGAACATTCATCTGATACAGCTGGTCAAGGAAAGCATGAAACTGAACTCATTAGAACCCATCCAAATTTTTTAAAAATGGCACTTTAACTTAATTCTACTCACCTACACTGAAAAGACATGTTTGCAGAGCTACTCCTTACAAATTTCCCTTTAATAATTTCTAATTCTTCCATGCTTACTCTGTTTTGTTTGTTCTTATTTCTGTATGATGTTAAATTAACATTTCCTTTCAACCTAGATTACAAAATAATGTTTGTATGACTGGCCAAATGAGAGTTAATAATCTTCCCAGATAAAAGCATAATGACATAAAAATACAACAAAGCATTATCATCTGAAAAAAAGCATAATTTTAACAGAAATGAGCAGTTGATAACCCATAAAATTCTGTGACTTCTTCCCACGGTCACATTCACATGAAAATAATATGTCTGTTATCCCATACAAACTAGAGAAGGTATTTACTGAAGGGTGCATGGTTCAACACCTCAAAAAAATTTAATCACTCATAATTCAAATTCACATATTGTTCTCCAAGCTACATTAATTAAAACTATTTTGTTTACAGCAGAGAAAAAAACAAGGATTTTTTCCAAGCAATTTGCTAAAAATAACTCTTGGGACAGATTTTTGCGCACATTTAAATGCCTAAAGACACCTACTGGCATTTTCCACAATTAGGTGCCGGGGTGCTATTAAAACCCAGACAGCTATTTGCATTGTTAGGCAATTAAATGCCTCCAAACTCCAGCCCTCCATCCTGCAGGACATGTTAGCTTGGAGAAATTCCACCACCCAAAAACTTGCATATAAAGATGTTCTATAACTGCTTATGAACAATGCCATAAAACCCACTGAAATTATAGCTGCATTTGGCAGTAACCTACTGAGTAGGACTATCAGAAGGAAAGAGGCACATACACAACACACTAACAGTTATGCCCAAACACTGCATTTCCTGACAGTATGTTTTCTCATCACTGAGAGCACTTCTGCCATGTTAAAGTACTTCAGGAACATCTTACAGAAATATCAGCCACATCACATTGTTTTGTTCTTCTGATAATTAATTCCTCATACTCCTGGCCAGGGCAGGAGGAGATCTGTCTCTACTAGAATGCTAAATTAAAAAAGATCAGAGACTTCATTTGTACCAGCAGGTGTTCCGAATCACATTTATCTCCAAAAGTGTGGGAGATCTTTTGGGTTTTTTGCAAAGAGCTCTGAATCTGCAATCATCACAAACTGTATTTTATAAAGATCATTTATGCGCAAGTTTTATGCAAGGTATGTGAATAAACCCTTAACTACTCACACATTAACAGTGGTGCTAGAGTTAAGCCACAGAAGCTAAATACTTATAGGATTATGGTTTGACTACCCAAGTTCGCCACTGGAAATTGAAGGTACATTATCTTATTTATTTAGGAAGAAGTTTTTCCATTTCTGTGAGCTCCTGTTGTTCAAATGAGAAAACTTTAGTTTCTTCAACAGAAATAACAAGCCTACTTCTTGACAGGGAAGCCTGCAAGGTACTGCAAAAACAACAACCAACCAGTTTTTAACAGATGCAACAGCAAGGTTTGGCCTCCTGCTTCAGCCTCCTAAACAGTGCATAAGAATATGAAGTGAATTTCAAAAATAAGCCAAAGTCATCTGTTCTATTTGCCTTATTCAAGCTAAGTACAAAAGGAGAAACAGAAATCTAGAAAGTTACTTACTTCATTTGTGGAAAGCCTTATGGGATAATTATGTTAACATTAACAAAGGCTGTAAGTATAAATTTATATCCAGCCATCTTGCTAATCCTACCTAAAGTTGCTATGACATACACAAATATGTGCATGTAGAGATTCACAGCCCCGTTCAACCTGAGAAACATATTTTTAAAATTGTGACTCCTCCTGTAAGTCCAGCAGCAATCTGATGTCCTTTATTACCATGTTAAAGCTTTACCCAAATGCTACAAGTCCAGGATTCAATGCAAGCAATTTTAAGCAATGTACAGAAAGGCAGGATTTGTAGAGAAACTCCATAATATGTTTTCCCAGTAAATAGATTTTTATGCTAGAAATATTGCAGCTTCATGAAAACATTGCATTTCAGTGCATCAGGCAACCAATGTTCATTTTAAATATTAAATATAAACAGGCACATAGCAAGAGATTTAACCCTGCAAGCCCTCCAGTGGAGGATCCTTAGTTGAAAAGCAGTTCAATTAGGTAAACATGATCACAGGGAGCTACAGGTACAGGCCTTTCCAGTTGTACTGAATATGTGTTTAGAAAGCAGTTTTCCACTGTCCATTTGCCAAATAAATTTTTAAAAATTTAAATTGGGAAGCACATAAGAGATATTTATTTTCCCTTTCGAATATGCTGGGCTGATAAACAGAAAAGTACATCTTAGCACATGACAGATGACAGAGGCAGCTGTCAACTCTCAAATACTTTTTTCTTATTTGATTTACATTACTATTGAGGCTACATTCAGATAAAATTATAGGCTAAATTCTGCCTCAAAACCAAACACCTATCTCTTCTTTTAATCACTTAGCGAAACCCTCACTAGCAGAAAACGTTCACTCACCAACATGGATTATAATGTGTTTTCTGAAAAAGCGAATTGGGCTGAGATATTGTATTTTAAGAGGACACAATCAAAAAAACATAATACCCAAGATATCAGTCCTGATAACTTCCGGAAGCTAAAGCTGATATATTATTGCAGGCCAAAATTTTGGGGGTTTTCTTAAGTACACTGCTTTGTTAGTGTAGTTTCACTGCTGTAACATTTTATTTAAATAACATTTTTTATCAGGACAGATACATGAGACACAAGAATTAGATAGACAATGCAACACAAGAAACTAAGTCAAGTTTTGAATGACAATCTCACTGTACAAAAGCAAGATGTCAAATACTTGTGGATAAACCTGTATTACAACATAACATCCTGTTGTGCCTCCATTCTGTAGCATCTCTGAAGACATCATGCTCTTACAGAGAACTGGTTTTATGTTATCTAGAGACAGCGGATAATTATTCAATAAAAGTTTTATCTTCACAGTGGATTATATGATTTTGATGCTGGTTTATTTACATTTGGCATAGTTTTGGAGATACAAATAAAGGACTCAATTTTCAAAAGTTAATGTTTCTTTCGGGTAGCCTGATTTTAAGATATTCTGAGAAATGTGAGACTTGATTTTCAGTGGTATGTATGTTCAGCTCCAGGAAAACTGCTAAGAATTACAGATACTCAGCAACTATGAAATCAAAGCTTATGGTGTCTAAAACTGGTTTTAAGAACAGAAGCACCTAAAATGTCCCTTCACATTACTTTGGTTTATAGGCGTAATTAAATAACTTTTTTGTGTGCGCTCTTGTCTATATTCATACACTTATGCATCCCTGACACTGCTGCTTTTAAATCTGAGCAACTTTAGCCATAGCTACAGAACTCTTGGTGAGGTATAAAACTGAATTGCCCATATGTAAAGTTAAGCATGTCCATAAATAAGCATATAAATTGAACAAAACTGTGCCTGCAAAAATCAGGCACTGAATTTTCTTGCTTTTGTAAGAGTCCATTAATATATTAATAGAGGTTTTACGTATTTTATACACTCAGATATATACATATATTTTATCAGTAATGTGTGCTTGGATACAAGCATACATAAGCACACATGCAAACATATGTGTACACATACCACACACAGACACTCACGTTCCCTTATCTACACACATACAAGTTCTTTATTTTTAGAGAAAAATGCCACCATTTAATAAACACTGGATTTAGTTCCAGGTTCTTCCAGAGCTTTAGAATTATAGAAAAAGGTAACTTACATCTGTCATTGCATATGAAAAAAATATGTGGACTTTGCAACCAAATTAAAATAAAAAGAAAGACCACACACCCCCCTCATGCTACCAGTTTTCCAATTAGGAATCAAGACATTGGAATGAATCTGGCATAAAAGCAATAAGCAATGGCAGCTTTTTGTATGAGTATTTTTCACAATAAATGTGAATCTTTTCAAAGATAAATTAGTACCAATTTATGGTGAGCAAAAAGTTCTTTCCTAGATGGGTCACTGCTGAGCCCCTTTCTTCTTCTGCTCTAGCTCCTGCAAGCGTTCCTCCCGGCACTGAGCATGCTGCGTTCCCACTTTGTGGGCTGTCTCGGTGGCTGCAATGTCAATCTGTGCATATCGGGATGATCCACTCCCTGAAATACCAAATGAAATCCTGTAAAAGACTATAGCCCTCATATATTCCTGGGTAAAACTGACCTAGGATTAAACTACCAAGACAGTTCTTCTACAGATTTCCTAGATTATCTTGGTCTTGTCTTAACCAAGCTCTGTAACAGGAGTAAAATGATAATGACAACTAAAAAAAAAACCCTCAAATGCTTTGTTATCTACGTACTTTAGCTATCTGTTTTTCTTCAAATGAGTAAATGAACCACTTGTATTTCTGCCTCAGGTTTGAATCTCCACTACTACTCCTCCCAGTAGAAGATAAAATTGAACTCAGCTCTCCCACTTCTGGGAGGCTTCATCAGTAGGCTACTAGTAAGTAAATTAATAACATCTGTTATTTGAAAACAAAACACCATTGGTAGGGCAGATGGAAGGGATTCTTCTTGGTCTTAATTAGGCACTATGTGAACATTTACCTGATCAACCACTTCAGCCTCAAACAGAATGACAATTTAGTCCAATAATTGGCAATAAGGGACATAAAAGCTGCTCTATCTGTTCAGGAGCAGAACAGTTCTTTACGGGTGTGGACATACAACTGCAGAGGCTGGGAAAAATTTAGTATGAAAAAGTAAAATACTTATGGTCAATGAAGGCACCTTCAAAGTTATAAAAGTTGAGTTTGGGAGGGTAGTTGACATTTAGGAAAATTTTCAGTTTATGGAATTCAGCTTTTCATTATTAATGACTTGGTTCACTGTCTTCAAAATGAAGATAAAACATCACTTCTACATCTCAACAGGGTGTTATACAAAGAACTACATTAAAGTATGGGAGAAGCTTAGAATTACTTAACTATAGCGATATAAAAAATTTTAAAATATGGGGAAAGTGCTACCATTTCAAAATTCATAAACATGCTGAAATTAAAAGTATAAAAATTAAAATCTCAATAGCTGAAAACTATACATGGAAAACCCATTAATACCAAATGTGAAGTAAATGCCAGATGCTGATTAGGGGCTTTCTGTAAGGAGGAACACATCTCTGAATGACAATACATGGTAGCTATAATGCATATTTATGTGCTAATTGTTCTAGTTAAGTATTAGAAGTAAAATACCCAGATCTAGACAAAAGAATAAAAATATTTTTTGAAAATCAAATACTTGGGCTGGCTTCATCTCTGTAGCACCTTTCACATATCCTCATGGAGAGCAGATAAAAGAACACTGTGTTCTATCCTTAGGCATTTGCTGCATGGCTCCAGAGTCAGTATCTTTAGGAGCAAGCCCTGTACACCTACACCCACAGCCCTGTTCCTGAAGCCAAGCAGGAAAAATTAAGCAAGTGTAGTCCTAATATGTGCAATGAAAATCTTGAGAACACGAAGCAAATTACTGTCTGTCAAACACCACAGACACAGAAATGTTCACTTTAGAAGGAGTACATATACAATGTTCCTGTCAGAGGGATGCAACATTTTATAGAACTTCAATACTTCAAAATCTTTTCCAAAATAGTTGACAATCGTAAGAACTGCCTCACAAACCTACCAGCTTCAATTCTGTTAGCAAGAGCCTATGTGTAGATGAGAAACTAAGATTCCCAATACAGTCTGCATTAATGCTTCCTTTGCTGTTTAAATAATAGACTTCCTTACCTCTTATGCTCGTGCTAGGTTCTTGAAGTTCCAGTTCCATGTAATGAAGTTGTTTTTTGGAAGTAGGAGTGACAGGAATATTAACATAGGTGGCTGTCTCGCCATGCGGTCGATCTGATGCAGGGATATCAGCTGAATAACCTACTGCCCCTTCTAAAACAAGTAACATCTTATTATAGACACTGTTTGCAATGACCAATGATACATTTCATAAAAACTCAATGTTCTATCAAATATTCTGGAAGCAAACATTCAGCAGCAATAACTCAGCTTGCCAAACAGTACATTCCTCAGTTGTAGATGGGACATGGAAAAGACTAAGGATTCTACAGGAAAGATCCTGAGAGACTGATCAAGTCAGGATCTATGTACACACCACTGACCACAGGCAGTGATCTCACTGTGTTGTGACAGAAAGCAAATACTACGCAGAAATTTTCAAACAGAAACAATATATGCAACACTACCTCAGCAGCTTTCAGCTCTAACTCAGGTTAGTAAAGCCTTGTAAGAAGCAATCTGCTCTAGGAAGATGTGGACTATTATGTGATCCCCAAGAGAGCAACACAATTCATTAGAAGTTCAGAAAGTCTGTCCTGAAAGCAGGGACTGAAGACCGTTTCAAGCAAGAGGAAGGCAAGCTTGAAGAGACAATATTGTCAGCTTCCCTGTACTGAGTTGAAAAAGACAGGAATGATGCCAAGTGGGGACAGACCAAGTAATAAAAGGCTTCAGTTGCAGGAAAAAAAGTAGCAGATTAGACAGTAGGAAAACCTTTCTTATAATAAAGATCACAAGAACACTAGAGGAAATTCCACAGAGGCTGAAGAATTTCTGCATCTAGAATTTCTAAGAAAGAGATAGACTAACATCTACTAGGAAATAGTTTTCTATAAAGTGATTCTGACTTACAGACAACGTTTTTGTCTACTGGATAAATTCTCAAGACCTCTTCTAGCCCTACTTTCAATTATTCAAATCTTGTCAGAAGTGAAACTAAGAGAGAAGGCAGTAGGTTCCATTCACTGGCCAACCAGGCATTTCAGCCCTTAACCCCTTCCTGACATCAGGCACCTACATCTAGTTTTTCCATCCATGAATATCAAGGGAATTCCCAGAATTACCAGAGTTAAAGGAGACTCAAATACAAACCCGTATTCTCTGTCTGTTTAGGCAAGGCTTTGAGTTACATTCTCTGTCCTACTCAGCAGGCTAGAAATCACCTGCTTGACCAGTCCAGTTGAAGTTCTTACCCTTAAACACTTCCTGCTGTTAAGTCAATTTGGGACAAAGGAGTGCAGAGGAAACACAGTATCACTTTCAGGTTTTGCATTTTCCTGAAGTCCTTCCATTCAGCCCTTCCTTGTCCCTGCATAAACTCATATTGAAATTTTATTTGTCCAGATCACTGCTTTTCCTTTCTGATTCAGACACTGTTGAGATGTGAAGGGAGAGGCAGTAGGTGAACAAGGTTTTTTACAGCAGGGGAGAGAATGACTTCTTAAAACCAACCAACAGCAGCTGTGAATAATCATTAAGGGGAACTTTTTCTTCTTGGACTGTATTATGAGTACCCAAGATAGTTCATACAATACCAGGCAACAGTAAGAGTTGTCAGAGGCTAATGGATAATGGAACCTCTCCAGGTTTAAGCTATCTAAATCATTCAAATTAAATCAAAGTTTGATTGGAAAGTTGACCAATTTTCTGACAGATTTCCATAAAGAAAACATAGGAACATCCACGAAATAACCAGACACTTTTCTGATGGTCAGACTTCAAGTTGTTGTCCCAAAGCCAGGTGTTAGAAACAAAATTAAAACAAAAAAAAAGAGAAACAGAGAAGTTTCTATATCTTCATCAAACATCATTCTCAAAAATTATTCTCAATTATTCTTTATAAAGTATTCCAAAGATTTTGGCCTAACAGTGTCAAAAGGGATTCAGCAGAATCATAGCACTGAAAACCTGCATCCCAAATAGTTAAAGTTGTAAGCAAATGACAATATTAAGGACTGATACAGAGTCATGAGCAGTCATAAAGGCAAAGATAATTTTTTGTCTTTCTATACACTGTTAAAGTGACGTAGCAGGAGTTTAAGTGAGGTGTCCTCAAAGCTAGCTAGCATGAAAACTAGTAAACTTCTCTATAGACCTAAATAGTTGAAAGGTTTTAGGAAGCTGAATGTCATACCTGATGCAGACAAGGCAAGAGATTTTCCTAAAAACTGAAAAAACACACAAGGAGAATAATGTATTAATTGGTAAGGCTTTGTCCAAGAAAATCAAAAGAAACACACAGAACAAAGAAACCCCTGGCAACAGTCAAATATTCTTCTCAAAGGAAAAAAACAATAACAAAGTTGGGCAAACTGGAATGGAAGGAAAGGAAAAGTTTTCTGTTGTTTAGTCAGTGCTGTTTTAATAGAAACTGTGTTTTCTTTGTAAACATAGAAATACTTGGCTTTTCATTTTTTCTTCAAATAAAAAAACTCAACTCATTAGACACTAAAAACTGGCTTATATTTGTTTGAAGAGAAATGTTTATTTGAAAAGCACGAGACAGTCAAAAGCTCCTACTAAGAAAACAAGGCACACACATTGAGCCTTGGAGAAAGACAGTGCTTTCAGCAGTCCATTTGGGGTGAACAGAGGTAAAAGATACAAGAGGGGTCAGAGGACCAGCATTTGAGATCATTATGGAAAGAGGATTTGAGAGTAAAACAGACCAAAATGTGCGGTTGCGAAATTCTGAAAAAGTCACGATTGCTTGAAAAGAAAGGGGGAACAGGTAGGAAGAAAAAAATATAGTTAAACAAGTAAAAGAGTAAAAGAAAATGCAGTGGCACTGAAATGAGGTATAAAAGAAAGGAAAAGACAGAATAATTGAGGAGGGAAGCATAACTGAGGAGGGAAGAAAATTATATTTGAAACTTGTGTTCTAGCCTTTCTTTGAGAGAGTGTTAGTTATTCAAATTTTCTACCCTATGTAGGCACCATTCTCATAAACATGCAATAAATAATGCAGAAAGAAAACCAACACCATAAAGAGAGCCCCAAGATGTGTGTGTGTGTGAGCATGTATGTAAAGTTGACATGTCAAAGGGCACCACCTCAAAAAAAAACATGTAGAAGAGAAAAAAAAAAAAAAAAAAAAAAAAAAAAGGAAATGGTAAAAGAAACAGATGATGTTAGTGTCTTCTCATGCAACTGGCTCCAAAGATTCCAAAGATCTTTACTCACCAGGTTCCTCAGGGCTAGTAGGAGTTCCAGGTTCTGCAGGAAGTGTTAGCATCTCATAAGCACCTTTAGGACCTAGAATACAGGAACACTGTCAATGGTTTTGGATTTAGGAATTTGTACAATGAAAACAAAGCATATGGTTTTCTGGTTTTGACTTGTAACCTTCTAGCTGGAATAATCACACTGAATAATCTCAGAAAGTATAAACAGTGATTAGTGTTGACTTCTCTGTAATGGTGATGCTAGCATTTTCTAATGAGTGTAACATCATGGAAATAAACGTTAGGACATTTTTACAAGTATTCACACTGAAGGGCATTGAAGTCAACTGTATGTTTTGCTGTACATCCATGTGGGAGCAAAGATGTGTTGAATGCATGAATCAGGGAGAACTGTGTGGGTGATCCTGGGAGCATCTGGAAGACTCTTGTTAAAATTCCACCTCCAGCATGATGGATAACTTCTTGATTTCTAACAAAGCTCTGAAGAAAATGTTTAAACTGGCCCTTCCAAAGATAGCTTTGCTTTCCAAGTGCAAATCATCATCTCTGCAAGAAGCCACGCTGCACAGCATCACCAGTGCTTCCAGAGCACTAAACTGAAAAAAGACACCCAGGTTCTCTCACAATCTTAGTCTCCATCCTAGTTCAAACAAGGCAAGCTAAAACGCTATGTCCACAGAATGAACATATTGGGATTAATTCTGAATGACAAACACTCATCATTTTATCTGATGGTGTTGTTTCTTTCTCTGTTACCACAAAGAATTATCTTTAAATGTGGTAGGGTTTTTTCCCCACCATGTCATTGCTAGGGTACAGGATTTCTCATGGCCTGAGGTGGTTTTTTTTGGTGGGTGCCCTTTGTTAAAGTGCTGGCAGCAAATTACTGCTGTGAATAAGATTACTGCCTATGCTCTGACACTTATCTCATCTGTCACTGCCTCTTCTAAACTTATCCCATCTGTCAATGCCTTTCTAACTAAAACCCTGCAATGCAAAAAACCCAAAGAAATGTGTCTTACAATAGAGAATCAAGTAATGTATTACCTTTAACTTTTTATGAACTTTAAAACAATTTAAGTTTAATTTAATTTAAATTTACATGCACACACACCTCGGAACCACTTACACTTACCAGCTTGTAGACTGTGCCCTCTATGTACTTTTAACGACCCAGAAGCTGCCATGATAGAAGTACCACCTGCTTTCAAAGACAGATATTCACATTAAATCTAAATATTTGTTGCTATTATTAGATATCTGCTGTGCATGAGCATTTTTAGTAGATGATTCCAAAACATCAAGAAAAATTTCAATAAGAATTACAAGTCATTCTTCACTTAAGTAATATTCCTCTTTTTTTGCTAAATTCTGTATCCTGAAATTGTAGCACTATAATCTAATTTTGTTGGGTTTTTTCTTCAGAAAGGATTCCTTCTCTAAAACTTCAGGATACTGGCCTCCCTGTTTGGGGTGAGTACTACCTTACTCACAGAGATAGTTGTCTTCAACTGAAAAGTCAAACGGCAATGAAAACTGAGTGGGGAGTTGCCTTTGCAATCCGTAACATAGCTTTGGCAACCACAGAGTTTAAAGTATTCATTAAAATCTCATCAGACTGGATCCAAAACCTATTAAAATTAATGGGACAAACTGTACACTTCACACTTCAGTAGTCTACCATCCATTTTTAGACATGCATGAACTGGGGGGGGTGAAGGGTAGTTGAAGGATCTAGCTTCCATGGGGTTTGAATCCAGGTCATAGCTGGTTCCTGTGAAATACCGTTCCAAGTGTTACAGCCAGGAAAGCTTTACCGAGGGCATGTCAGATGGCACAGTCAGTCTCCTTTCCCCAGCCCTCTTCAGAGCAGCAGGAAGCTGTCCCAGGTACAGTATTAGATACGGATGTTCGAGGAAACAAGAGCTGGCAACTCAGAAACCTACAGAGTGGTACGCATGTAGTGTGCTTTGTCTACATAGACACATCCCCTCTTTATTTAACCAGCAAATTAATCAGCATCATACCTACCTGTTTGGTTAGCATTATCCCTATCCAGCCACGAATGTCTTGTCTCTACTGTTGTCACTGTGGGCACCTTAATCAAGATGAGTGGCACTTACTGCCTCACATGAATATTTTTGAGAGAGCTTCTTGTGCAAGTAAATGGTACTTAAAAGAAATAAGGTAGGAGGCTGTGCTTATGAGTAACCCTGCCATTGGTGACAGAGCAGCTGTGCCATGTGCTGCTGGGTGTTAGGGATCAGGTATAAAATTAACACTCTCTTCTAAACTGATGAATAGTCTCTGAACAGGTGAGACACTTCTATGAAAGTTGTTTTTAAAATAGCATCCAAAAAATTACCATAATTCTTATGCAACGTGAAGAAATTCTACAAGATAAATAAGCTATCTCAAATATCTAAGAAAACTGCATGACCTAGGAACCTAAAGAAAATGGAATTTTCTTAATTTTTTCCCCTGTATAAAGTATATATTCATACTGTTTTTTTTCCAAATCTAATAATTTCCAAGCTTATAAAATTATTCCTACACTTTTATAAATAAATCTAAATAAAACCCACAGATTATTTCCCTTAATGAGGACAATGTATTAAAAAAATAATAAACACCTATTTCAGAAGTGTGCAACTGAACCAGCACCTTTAGTTTTGTAGTTTTTGTGTACACAAAAGCATATATAGGGTAATCCAAGGCTACAAAATCAATTTTCAGACATACCATACCAAGAAACTAATTTTGTATTTTAACAAATGAGACCAGATTGTAGAACCTTTACATACCCTGGTGAGGACTTAACCACTAAAAATGTTGTCTGAAATTTTGTTTTTAACAAGACTGATGATAAAAATAAATGCAAAAATAGGACAGCCCTGGACTAGCTGATTTATTTATATTTCACTTCAACTGATTTTCCTTTTCCTCATCTCAGAGCATCCTGTCTCTGCATTATTAAACCTATCAGAACGCACTTTATGCCGCTGAAAGCCTTACCTTACTTTGAAGAAAGACTACAGCTTTATGCTAATTGCAGCTTCATCATAAAAGTAGTGTGGGGTTGGGTTTTTTTCTCCCTCAAAAACAATGCAATTCAGCAGAAGGGAAACATGGATTTTTAAGCAACATTTCTAGGATTTGTGGAAAGCACACAGGACAGGAAAGGAGATTTAAAACTATAAGATATTCCAATCCATTTATGGTCAAGTTGAAGTTTTGCCATTGGAGTTCATTTAAAAGAACTATGTTAATTCTTCAGGATTTGACCTGTTGCATTTTCTTCACTTTCAAATCTGGCAACTAACAAATATTTACATAGTCAAATCTCTCATGGAATTTTATTGAAGCTTTGAACTGCATCATATAAACACACATCAACAGAGACTGACCTAGATATTTTCTTCCTTCTTATTTACAGTTACCATATAAACTGGTTTGTTTCTCATTTATGAATCCTAGGATAACACTTGTAGGAATGGAAAAAGCAAGTTAGCAAGATAAATTTCTGAACATATAAAGCATCCAGCAGAAGACAGATGCTCCCTTCCATCATTCTTTTCATCTTACAAGGAACTGTTAAGAATAGTTTTTTCAGTTTCCCCTGTCATCCAGCTCTGTGTGGCTGAATTGCTCAAGTCTTTGTTAAAACTGAGTAGCTCATCCAGAGTTATTTCTTTTCTACTTTCCTCAATGTGTAACAGGAAGAAGATACTAAAATGTGACAAAAATAAAAAATAGAATATTTTGCATTCCTACATATGATTAGACTCAAATGTCTGATGTAGCTCAGTGAAGACAACCACTGTTTGAAACATTTTTCTAACCTCACAGTCATTTCTTTATGCCCAATCTTCAAAAATAAGCAGTTTACAGCACATGTGCTACAAAAAAGAGACATGAAAAAAAAAATGAACAAATGAGATGGAAGCTTGAATACATGCTATAAACTGAGTCCAGCTAGTTTACATTTTCAAATCCTGTCACCTATCATTACATGGCCAGTGAGCAGACACATGTAACGCTGCACTGCATTTACAAAGTGATCACTTCTTACTGCCCAGCGATCACTTCTACTTTGCCTTTGGTCACAAACTCTGCAGGTCTGAGCTATTAGATTTGCTGACAGAGTCAGGACAGAAAAAAACACTATGCTCTGCAGTTAATTCTTGCTTCTTGTTGAATTAAAGCTACCTTTATTATGAAGTACTTTGATCCACTCAGCCAAGCAATATTTCCCTCTCCTCCTTTGAAAACAGATACCTTAGTTAAAAGAGCATCCAAAGTCTAGAGCTACCGATTGACAGGAGAAATACTGCAAGTACACCAGGAGATTTTTTCATGTAAATGTAATAAAAGACTTCCTGGTGCTGTATAATTGCCCTTTAAAACTTCCCTAAATTTGTTACTCTTCAATTTTCAAAGTGACTTCATATATTTTCTGCTATACAAATGGTACTATCTGCAATACATAAAAGCTGACAGGGATGCTTAAAAATGCTTACTCGCTCTACAGATTTCATTGTATTTGGAAATGCCTCCTGTCTCTCTAACAGGCAATTTCAGAAGTAGTAGAATCACTCAAAATTAGAAATGCATTCAAGCACACTGACTTTTCAAAAATTGCTCTACAAAGATAACTGTTTAGCATGTCCAAAAGAATCACAGAGGATCTAACTACTTCTAGCTATTATTCATCTTTCCATGCTGTAGGGCCACTCCAGCCCAGCCTCCCATCCTTAAAAATGCAAAAGTGTTAAGCTAGAAACATTACCATTTTCCTGTACCAGGAAATTCAGTGTCTGATTTTTGAAAAATCTAAATTCAAAGATGCTTTACATTCATTTACTCCAAAAATCTTGATGAATCTGAGGCTCAGGATCTACACTGGCCAAGAATGAAGGTCACATAATGTGTTTCCTTAATAGAAAAAAAAAAAGAAAAAACCTGAAATAATCACTACGTTTGCAAAAGAGGTTCCTCACCTTTGTGTTCTAGGAGGTCACAATATGTCATTTCCCGAAATTTCAGTGTCAAAGAAGGTATGGGAAAGCAAATCAGGAATACAGAAAAGACAGGACTAGAGGCTCACGGTGGCATGGACTTACAACCTTCTGTCACCCCCAAGATAGGCAACAGGATCCTTCTGGATCTACTCAGCCCCGATATGAAGCAGCAGCACTTGGATCATTCACTAGCATGTTTTCACCACAGGGAGGTTTGTTTTTTTCCCTGCTCTCAGGCCCCTAGTAATTCAGATAGTCACTAAGTCCAAGGTTTAGCTTGTAAATGCAATACATATTTTAATCAGTTTACTTTTTCTGAGCTATTTTTCTTCCCCTACAGAATTATTTTGAGTGCATTTATAAAATAAAACACAATCAAGAAAGAGCATGCCATATTATGGCAGGGTTTTCTTAATCTTAATTCTTGTTACAATAACGCTCTTCTCTTACAGTGTTTAGTCTTGTGAAGTATGAGAGATTTATGGTGGGCACTGTTCAGCACACGTTCTTTACTGGGTCAATAAAAGGATCATAGTATACCTAATCTTCCTACATCCGAAGACATGATAACACATTTCCTGAAAAAAAATTGTGAATTATAATTATTTTCAATGTAAGCAACAACAACCAACACAGTATGGCCCAGATTCTTCTCTCTCACTGCTCTCAATTAGTTCCTTGAAAGCTTACTCCTAAGCTTGGAACAGAAGTACTAGGCTGTATAGGTTCACAATAACAATTTTAAAAATACATGAAAGAAAGTCTATTTTTCCATCATAAAAACTAAGCTGTCAGACAGCTGAGTTCATTTCAGCACCCATCAACTGTTATATACTTAATTTTATTCTTTCTTTTCATCTCCTTACCTTGACTCCATACCTACCTAAGAACAATTTAATAGAGCTACAATGTTCATAATCAGCATTCAGCTAATATTTCAGCTGAATTCCAATCCACAGCATTGTTTTATGTTTATTCCTTAATTCATCCTCTCAGAACATTTCCCATCAAGCATTGCCTAGGTTTGGCATTACAAGCACAGAGGTTGTCAGATAGCAGGAGTGTCTGTTGCAATGGTGATAAATTTGCTCCTGTGGAATATGGAAAAAATGGAACTGCGCAGACAAAAAAAAAACTAGAAGATAATTTAAGAGTTACAAAACTTAACAATATTAAAGCACACTGCTTCCGTGGGAGGATATTTGTTAACCTATTTTCCCATTCAACTATTGATTTTTGTAATGCCAGAACCTGCAGCACAGAAATACAGGGAGATCAGACATCCCAGACTCAGAAGTTTGAGTGTTGAAATGCCCAAAGTTGGGCCTGGCTCTGGCTCCTGGGAATGCCTAGGCAATCAGCTTTCCTGTAGCTAATGGGAAGAGATAAAAGTTTTTGAAATATGGTGCATAAAGCCTGCATGAAATGCCTTCTACAGGGCTTGCAGAGGGTCCCTAAGCACTTCTACAAACCCATTCTAGCTCTCAGCTTAGCTTCTCTAAATACCAGTCTTGGGATTCAGACCACTCAGTTCACTTGGAAGTGTTGGCAACTAAGAACAGAAATAGTGGTATCTGGTATTCCCCACCCCATTGTCCCCCAAAAATCAACCTCATGGTTTAACTATCATTCAGAAAACAGGACAGCTGTGACAGAGTTCTACTCAACTGAGAAAATCCAGATGGTTGAAGGAGAGCATGAAGACATTACAAGTAAGAGTTAGAGGTTTCTAAGCTGTTGCAATGAACTAGAAAGGAGCAACAGATTTAAATAAGGGGCCTAAATCACAGTGAGAAAGACCACAACTGTTAGGAACCTGTTAGGAAATAGGTTCTAAATGTAAGAACAGCAAAGGACTTCGAATGATTTAAGGTGGATTAAGGATTCTCACTGCAGAACATGCTAAACCAACACCTGTCAGACACACTCACAGAAGTACATCCCAACCTCAGGGAAGAGGCTTCAGCTAGACAACCTTTTCAGCCCTGTTTTTCCTACAGAACTTTGTTTTATAGTACCAGAAAGACAATCAAGATAATGATGAGCTCTTCAGCTCACCATTCTGAGAAGTTATGTGCTGTCCTTTGGTTCCACCTCTCAACACTGAATGTGCATCTCATTTATGATCCTTTAATTCAAAGCACCTAAGCAGCTCCTGAGGAAAGGACCTACATACCTAGCTGCAAAACTGCATCCATGAGAACTGCATTCATGAGAAACTCTGTATAGGACCCATTAGAACTTCTTAGACCAAATGTACCAAACCTGGGTGCCCCCAGAATCCAGCAGTCTCAGAAATACAGAAATCTGCATCATATTTTTGAACCTCTATCCTGTCACGGTATTTAAAGGTCCATAATAAAGGCAGTCTATTATACTTAAGACCAGGCATTCCCACATCATACAACTCCAAAAAATCCCTTACCTTGATCTGTAGTACAAAGCTATGATAACAATGGAAATGCTTTCCTCCTACAAATACAAGCAGTCTAATAGTCTCTCTAATCAATCTTTATGAAGTTATTTATAACAAAGGCAAATTATTTAAACCAGAATTAAATGATTCACCCCAACATGGTTTTTCTCATCTAGTAATACAATACAGAATTGTTGCGGCATTTATGAACACTTTAGCTTGCCATTAGAATTAGACACATTTCTCTGAAGTTGCTGAGTCGATTGCTCAGCATACATAGTTAACAGTAGAAAGAGAGTATCATCACCAACATTCACTATCAACAAACTAAACAATATTTAAACAATTGATCCTGACTCTTTAACTCCATTTCTTGATACAGAACTGAGGCATTCAAGAGCAAACATACTGTACAGAACATGTGGTCACCTGTAGCACTGGAAGAAGTGGGTTTGCATTCATACAGTATGTTTGAATTAAAATACAGTACAGTTCTTTCTGTGATAAAGAAGAAATGTCTTTGACTAAGTGGACTGCTACACTAGCAAATATAACTGTATATTGGGTCATTTTACAATCATTGATGCTAGTAGAGGTATCTTGCCATGTACATGTGCAAGACAGGCTTTGAAAGTAGTTGCCTCAAATTACTTTGTCCTTATGTTATCATCAACAATGGATTAAAATATCATAATAGAGAAACATAGAAAAGTTCTAATGTTGTTCCTTTATTCCCAGCACCCAGGAACCTTCAGTTAATGGCTTGGATTAAAGATGGTGGAAGAAAAACAGGTTACAGTATTATTTTGAAAGCTTTGCAATGCCAAGTTCAATTATACTTGAAATGTTCACATATATAAAATAAAATATTTGTGGATAATAAATATGTGACAAGACAGAGAAAGCACGGATTTCTTTCGTATTTTGAAAAATAGTGTAATATTGAAGAATAAAGGTATATAATGAGATCATTTAAGAGATGAAACCCCACAAAGATAGCTAAAAACTTCAGTCATTGATATAATATTTGCCTAAAATATTTATACTTATTCCAATAAGTATTCAGATTTTTTCTTAAACAATATTTTCCCAGTGTACCAGACATGAAAACCCACCCACTCAAGTTTCTTCGGTCTTGTATCTTCCTTTTCTGTTGATCTAAAAATCTGTCCTGTATTTCTACATTTCCAGTTTGCTTAATGATAGGTTATATCAAAACAGCTAACTCCTTCATCTGCATGAATAGTCTGAGATTAAGTTTTTGTCAGATACTGTTTGCATCCACAATTAATTTGTCATGGAAATTTATTCAGAAATAATGCTGTGCCCACCACATGAAGCTATAGACCCAAGTTCCCCTGTATTTTCACACACTTAGTCATACGTGCTCTGGTTTCCTTGGGTCGATTAGAGGACTAGAAACCTGAGTACCAGAAGGAAAGATAAAATTAGAGTTAATGATCCAATTTGTGCTTCTACTTATACCTCTATAAATCAAGAGTAATTCCACTGACTCTAGTGGAATAACTAGGAACAAGATCTGCTAAATGCTTCTAGATTTTCTCCTGCTAAAACAGACAAAGGAATAGAGTTACTTCTAACCTTCTCCAGAAACACCTCCTGATCCTAGGTATCTTGCTGGATTTGTTCACACAAGTATCAATCAGCTATATTTCTTTATGTATTTGCCAAAGTTTTTAAAAGTAATAAAGAAACTCAAGCACAAAGAGCTGTTCTGTCTATCAGAAGCAGGCAACCTGAGAAATTTAATGGATCTGCTGAATTATCAGGTAAACAATTTAAGGAATACAAAAACATTTAAGATACTAAACAACTTATTTGCAGAGATGTCTCCAAGGAATAAGATGGAGACAGTAAACAAAACCAAATGCTTACAAAATGTTATCTCTGAAGTAAAATGATGACACAAAAGGTGCCAGACCAGTTTGGCTACATTAGACAGAGGACTCCAGATGACCAACGCATTCTACTCATGGGCAGATTTACAATGCAAAGGTAGTCAGTGTGTTACCTTTGCCTAAATAGTATTTCCAGGCCAGATACTCAGTCTCCTCCCTTTTCTAATTTTGTTGGTCAATCAGTAATTGCTCTGACATGACAGAAGCATTTCTATGTTGCCTCTGGTAAGGATTCATTCCTGTGGTTCTGTGTTATTTAAAAAACTGGGTATACACATGGAACATATAAATCGTTTCCCCTTGGTGTCAATATAGCCTCAGAGGAACACTCTGTTGACATTCAATTATATAAGTAGAAAAAGCACTAAAAATCTTCATATAGAAACTGACAACTTCAAACCTCTTTAGATTACAAAAGGGAAAATCAAATATATTAATCTTTGCAACCAAATATACTACAGATTACAATGTATTTCATAATTTTCAGTCATGTATTGCAGCAGCAAAACCAACCACAAACAGGATACTTCACAATAGAGTCTTTAGTTCTGCTTCCATAAATCTTCTCTTTCTCTCATCACAATTTGAGACAAACATTATTCTTTAACACAGCAAATAACTAAATGGCGCCTACCTGGTATAGCTGGTAAGACTCCAGACTGTAATATTGCTGTTCCCTAAAGAAAACAGAAAATTTTAGATTGAAAAATCTTTACAAGAAACAAGAGCTTTACAAAATATAGGAAGAATGGCAGAGAAATCACCTCACCATCATAAAAGCTTAACAAGTGGTTTTAAAATCCAGAACTTGAAGGTGTTCAAAACATGTATAACCCGCAAAACCCTCGTCTACCTTAGCAAAAGTTAACTAACGGCTTTGGATGCTTTGCAGGCACAGTGAACCTTAGCACTATTGAATCAGTCCTGAATTAAACAGCAAAAATGAAGAAAATTCAATATTCAGAGGAAGATGATATCAAGTCAGAGTAACAGCATTAACAGATGCAAATTAAAGCCATGCCTATATTCACTTAAAATGGTAGGTGCTGCAAGCAGACTGAAGTCTGGTGTGCTTCTGACACAGCTCTGTAAAACCAACACAGAGCTTAAATTGACTTCAGACTGCCTACAAATCCCACCTGTGACATCAGGGTCTTTCCAGAAAAGCTTTTTGCCAGCTCAGATGTTTCACACTGTTCATACCATGGTGGTACAATGGCAGCTGGGGCACATCAAAGCAGTCAGGCATAGAGTACCAGTGCCCGCCTGTTCACTCTTAAGGGTAAGTGTGTTCCAAAAGACGCTTGCAGGCCAGGTCTCTCCCCAGCTATACTATGTCAGTCAAAGCTGATCTGGATGGCACTCTAGCACTTCCATCTCTGGATAAAATCAAGGCTGCTCTTGCATGGCAACGTCAAGGTAGGCTGTGAAGTCAGTCTGGTCTGTGCTACTGACCACCACTCTGCCAGAGCAATCTCTTTTATTCCTGTGATCTTGGTGAGAAGAATTCATCATCATCATCATGATCATTCTTTTCTATAAATGTGTCTTCTGGACTTCAAAGTGGAAAAACATTATATACCTATTGGAGCTGAGCAATAACAATGCTCAATTCCAAAGCAATAGAATTCCATATTACACTAACATCTGACAGTAATTTTCTTCACCTGAATACACAGACCCGTGACCTGTGATAGCTCTGTTTCTTATGCTTTCTTACAAAGTGGTGGATTTTCAGATGCACTTAGGAATTTACATATACATTACATATATATTCCCCCTACAAAGGCACTGTGTTGACTTCCCAAAATTTCTCAATAGAATATGTAATAGGTTATTATTAACCATATAGAAGTTCAAGTCATACTAATTCCTGCACAACATTTTCTTAAGGCAAACATATTAAGATGCAAAGCTCATTAGATGTCACCATCACAAAAAACTGTCAGAGCCAGCAACTAGATCCAATTTCAGTTAAAGTAGAAAGGCTTTCTTTGGTTTTGATGCATCTTGCAATGAACCAGAAAAATATTAGAAAAGATTACCCTGATTCTGTTTTAGCCAGTAAAATATACATTAAAAGTGCTTACTTGGATCAACTGGGGAGAAGCAAGTTGGTTTTTTTAAATACAGTTTTGAAATCTGCAACACAGAACAACTTTCAACAGTGTAATAACACACAACATACAAGATGTTTCTGCCCGATCCTGTTACAAACATGAAATCTACAGCTTCAGTATTTACTTGAGCTTTTATGGTAGCTTTATACTTTAATATATGAGACACTGAATTTGAGCAACTATTTAGAGTAGAAGTAGAAGGGAGGAGGAGGAAATCAGAAACATGGCCAAGATTTCATTTCTAAAAGAGAAAAAACATCCCACAGTATTTCAGAAAAAGAACATAGCATTTTATTAATTTAACCATAGTGGATGTTTCTATATTCTATTTGTTTCTATAGTTACCATGTGCCACCACAGAAGTTGCTGCTTTCATTTGGGGAATATGCAGAAGTATCTGCACAGATAAAGGACAGAAGACTTTTGAGTCCATTACAAGCAGAATTCTGTATATTTAGGTAACAATATTTTTCCATTATAATAGAATTACCATTAATTGTTTTCACTATTATTTATAGGAGACTTGAAAAATAGTTTTACCTGCCTCCAGCACTTATTAGGAGTTTGCTAATACAAAATACCAAAACATAATTTCCCTGGCTTTGGTTATGTCTGTGGATGTAAAGCAGATTATGTTGCATCTGAAGCTAGTTTACTTAATGGAATAGAAAATGGCAAACTGAAGTGTTGAAAAGCATAAAAATCAAATCTTGCTAGTAAGAAAAGATCTCACAATTTTCTGGTAACTTTTTGCTTTAAAAAAAAAAAAAGTGTTGGGGGGGCGGAGTAACTTGTGGGGTATGGAAGGGAACCGTATGTTACTTAGTTCATAAAGTCAATCAAAAATTGTTTTGGGAGGTGAAAAAAAATTATTTTCCTCACCTTTGCCTCTAGATTCATTAATCTGCAAAGCCTCGCTGTCATTCAGGTCATGAGATAATGCATGAAACTAGATAGCAAGCTGGAAAAGCATTTTTAACTCTCTCTCCATAAATGCACTATACATCAGAATATCCTGCATTATGGCCAAAAAATGATAGAAATAAAGGATAGAAAGAAGAAAACCTGAACGGAGATTGAAAGCTCTTTGAAGAAAGACCAGCATTTTGGTTCTTTGTTTATACATAATCTCCCTGAGGGAAATCCTCTTTCATCCTTACAGATGTTACAATCAACAGTAATGCAAAGAAACAAAGAATACACTGAATATTTTTATAATGATTGGTTTTCTTCTCACCTTATAGCAAAGCTGTCATTTACAAAAGCATACGTTCCTACTTGCTAAACAGCTTTGCTCTCCCTGTAAATGCAAGTTATAACTAGTTGATTTACTTGCAAATTAAGTTTTGCTGGTTTTCCCTCCTCTCAGAGTTGCATGAGCTTAGCACTTCTGCAAGAATGAGGATTAAAAAGTCAGCAATGCCAAACTGTTAAAAAAATTTAAGTTGCAGAAACTTTTTTTTTGTTGATGTGCTGCTTAATGCAAGTTAAAATCAGTCGGCGGGGCTTTCTGACCTCTGAAAGTGAGTGGGAATTCAAACCATCATTGCCTTTTGTTCTACACATCATATATGACATGAAAATAACTGAAAATTAAAGAGAGATCATTTTGTTAACATAGGTACAGTTTGTTCAACAATGGAGTCTTATTTCATGCCTGGTACTCCTAGTCACTCTTACAAAATAAAATCTGAACATTTTTTCATAAAATTGAACAAATTAGGTAAGATGACAAAATTGATAAAGGCTAGACAGATAATATCAAATAAATATACTTTCAGAGTCATTATTAGAAGACTAGATTATACTTGACAAATGCAAAAAGGCAAGCATAAGTTAGATGTGTGAAATTACATCAGATGTGGGACGCTGACAAAATACCACTGAAATTATAGGGAATAGATGAAAGACACAAATTACTAAAAGAATCAGATGTGACACTAAGTTAATAGCAAAAACAAAACTAGTCTTTTGTTATCAAGTGATTTTTCCAGTCTATAAGATTGTTGTCTTCATTTTAATTTCAATATATCATATTCTATTCTTTCTGCAACTCTGAGGCCTCCTGCTGCAATCCTCTCTGTAAGGCAGAGACTTCACTAACTTACAGTGGTTACCACTAAGGCAACTCAGTAGAAGCAACAGTACCAGAGACTTAAAAGCTATCTTTTTTTAATTCTACAAAAGTCAGGCAAAACATACTTCTGTCTGTAGGAAAACTTTTAAACTTATTATAATGTAGAAATGTAAATGCATGGTTTTCAAATGTAAAGTATAATACATATGTCAACCTACCATATGATTACACCAAAGAAGAAAAGGGGTAATGGACCTCACCCGAATAATACACTCTTGTTATGCCTGCTAGGATATTCAGATAATAACTAGCAAAGTGAGTATCTAAATACTGCATATCTCATAATATTACTTGTAAACATAAGTTAAACATCTTTCTAATGCAGATTATTTTTTCTGTGACACAAGAGCCGAGTGCTGAAGTACGTGACGCGTGGTTGTTAACTCAAACAACCTCACCACTACAACACCCACAGCTAACAGATATGTACCACTTGTATATCACACATCATGAGCTACATGTCCAGGGCTATTTTAACTCTGGTAGTGATCTGGCTCCTGTCAGATGACATTCATTTTTGATGTTCTGCTTCCAAATATGTTGCAGAGGGTTCAATGATAGATGTTAGCAGAACCCACTAGTTTGATATGCTGGATCATTATTCACAGATTAGCTCTGTTGCCCTAAACAGCCAAACGGAACCTAAGCCTTGGCATTTATTTCTGTATGCAAGTAACCAGCATAATACATAATAATTTTTACAATTAAAATGTGGGGGTTTTCCCTCTATGTATATTTCTCTCCTTTTTTTTCTTTAAAAGTTTCACTTTATTTCATTCAAAGTTTCATTCACTTTAAATTTCATTAAATATATGATTTTCCAGATCAGTTCTCATTTAAAAAAATTACCAGACACAAATACTGTCCCATATAAAAAGCAGTATGCCTACCTTTCTATATATACTCAAATCACTTTTCATGGACTACATACCAAAACTTGCTCTGATACTGCTAGCAGGAGTTTTAGTCTTTGGACACAAGATCAGGCCCAAGTCCAGATCTTCCAAGCTCCACAGTGAAGAGCAAAAATACTGTACTGTACAACTTCCTATTCTTTGAGGAAGTTTTGCCAGATTCATAGTGACAAAAGGCATCACCATGGTGTAAAAGGAGCCAGGAGCTTGCGAGTCACATGGACAGAACAGAAAAAAGGAAAATATTGTCTTGAGACTAATCCCTCCCATTACTGGCTCTAAGGATAGGAACTGATAGATAGCTCCATATAAACCATGTATTTTCAAGGAAGTAAAACACTTTTGTGTCATATTTTTCCTCCTAAAAAGAAGTAAACTATACTTCCAAGAAAAAGCAGATCAGCTTCTGTAGATTGTAATGCTGAGCTCGGCTCCATCATCACTGCCAAAAGGAATGAAATGCCATTTGCCTGATAACTGTCAACATTTCAGACACACCTCCTCAG